AAAGAATCCCCCATGCTGGCACACATATATCTTTGCACATTCATACATATATATGTATAACTTATTTCTTCAAATGGACTCACGCTACATATGCTATTTTGTGACCTGTTCCATTCATTGATATATAGGGAGAATTGTATGAGTGTCATCATTTTTAACAGCTGCAGAGCACTGCACTATAAGGATTACCATAATTTATTTAACAAATACTCCATTGTTGGATACTTAGGATTTAAACCTTTTCACTATGTAACAGAACTGCTATGGATAGCAGTGCATATGCACCTAGTTACTAAAATTAGAAGCAAAGAATAGGCATGGGTAATGAAAAATGTATGTACCTTAGAAATGGAATTGCTTCAAGTATAGGTATTTTTTTCTGTGATACATGTTCTTTGCTTCAAGTTTTCTTGAATCTAGATTTGTTCTGTTATCTGACAATGTGGCTCCATCAAAGAAAACAAATAGACTATGACTACCATTTTATAAGCAATAATACTACACTCTTTTCCCTTTATCTACATTGTTCAGAAAATAAAGGTCCACAAATTGCCATCTAAGATACAACTATAGAGCAAAACAGTAAGTGCAGAGAAGAAATAAGTCTACAAGAGCCACAATCTCATTTTCCTGAGATCATAAGAATTAGTTGGTACCTGGCTACTACCACAGACCATTCTGACCAGGATCAGAGTAGTTGGTCCCAGATAAAAATGGGAGAAAAATATGGAGCAGAATTAAAATTCTTATTTAGGGGAAAAAAAGCAAAACAGACAAACTGAAACCACAGAGAACAGAGGATTCCCTGAGACTATCATCTGAGACACTCTTTAAAACCTAGAACTGGGCTATCCCCCTGAGATCACTTTTTAGTGAAATAGTAGAGTGGCACACAAAATAAACGGTATTACCCATCAGATCGGCGCCCTACTTCAAAAACATCAGTATGAGACCAAAAGATCAACAATCACTCAAAAGCAAAGATGAGACAATAAGGAGGCAGGGAAACTAGAGTACTGGAAAGGGAACAAACGGAACACAACTAAAGAGAATGTTGACATACTGTGATAAATGTAACTAAAGTCACTGAACAATTTGTGTGGAAATTGTCAAATGGGAACCTAATTGTGTAAACTTTCACCAAACACTCAATAATATATTATTGAAAAAGAAAAGAAAGGGCCAACATCAAAAAATATTCCTACTGCACACGTTCCCATTACCAGCTATTCATCTAGTCACAGAAGACATTTTAAGAAGCATCAGGAATGTAAAATACTTGTGAACTCCATATTTACTTGCTAAAAGTATCTTAATTAAATGTCATCATGTGCCTGATACCACAATCGGTGTTAGAGAGACACTGAAGATGAAGACCCAGACCTGCTCTCTGGTGCTTTCTCCCAGAAGACCAAGGGACAGCTCAGCCACACTTTTGACTCATGGTAGGAAATACAAAAGTCTAAGGTGTGCTTTGGAGCGCAGGACCCTAACAGGGGAAGGCAAGTGGCAATGAGGTGGCTCTGTAGTCTTATCTCTACAGAAGCAGACTGCCCAGTCTTCCTTCTGAGGAGTGGCTGGTGGGTTTGAACCGCCATCCTTCTGGTTAGCAGTCAAATGCCTTAGGCACTACGCCACCAGAGCCCCTCGAGCTTCTGTTTGTAGTCTTGGCAAGGTCCTTGGTGGTTCAAATGGTTTGCACTCGACCACTCACCTGCAGGTTGGCTACCCAGCCAGCAGCTCCAGGAAAGAAAAGCCTGGAGATCTGGTTCTGTAAAGATTAGAGCCACGAAATCCCTAGGGAGCAGTTCTACACTGTAACATACAGGATTGTGATGAGTTGGAATCAGCTCAATGGCAACAAGTTTTGGCTTTATTTTTTCCATTTTTTTAATTTTTTTTTTTTTTTTTTTTTTTTGGCAGTCTTGGCAGCACAAAGGACTCCACATAGAAGATCAGAGAGAGACAAAACACTCAGGCCCAAGGCCACATGGTGACTCGAGAAAACCCCTGGAAGGTCAGCAGGGCTGGCACAACGGGCAGAGGGGTACTGGAGAGCCCAGGATGCGGCCTGAGAGGGAGGCAGGGCCTGGGCATGCAAAGCCAGCCTTGGGTTTATGCTAAGGAATTGGCACTTGGGGGTGTGGTTGGTAGAGATAGGATGATACCAGGGAAGATGCAGTGGAGCAGGGACAAGGTTAGAGATAGGAAACAAGCCGAAATTATATTGGTGACTCAGGAGAGAAAAGGTGGGGAAACAGCCCAGGGAGGAACAAATAACAAGGGGAGGGAAGTTCTTTGGGGGAAAGTGATGTGGGCAGAGGTGGCATAGTCTCTGTGATACTTCGGTGGTAGAATGACCAGGATGCTGACTGAATACTGAGGGAGATGGAAGAAGCAGCAGGTAAGAAGGGTGCTGGCCAGCCTAGCAAGCATTCATAAACCTGATGCACCAAGCCCACAGAAGTATGTGGAAAATAAAGTCACAGTTAAGACCACTGAACAACAGAGATGGACACTGGCTCTGTTTTGGCCAGAGACTAGCAGAATGTTCTAGACCCTAGTGGAATGACTTTATTCCACTCTTTGGGGCCAACTCTCTCACATGCAGAGGTGCTCGTGAGAATTGTGTATCATGAAGGCCCCTCCCAGCTATAAAACTATGAGTTCCTGTCAGTATGAAAAACCCAGGTGACAGCTGTGTACCTAGAAACTTACCCTGGCAAGAATGCCTTCCATGGAAAAGGTGGCTGACATTTCCATATCTGGCCTCTCTAATGAAGTCCTACCCTTCTTTCAACACTCCACACCCGAGCAAACAAGGACCCCAGCCCCACCCATGCCTGAGTGCCAGCTCTCCAGCTCAAACATGCAGTTCTGTCCCTTCACATCTGGCTGCATGCTGCTTTCTTTTCTCCCCCATTACCGGGTAATAAAGAGCAGACTGGCAGAATAGTTCAAATACCTTCTTAAAAAGTACACATCCTTGTGGGCTTGGTGACCTATTTTGAGCTAAATGTTTCTAACCTCCAGGCTCAGGGCTGCTCTAGGCATTAACATCTACTTCAACTGAACACTCAGGAATTCAGTAATGCAAGGTGCACCTGCCCACTGCCAGGCCCATGTAGGACAGTGGAGAGAGTAGGATGAACTAACTGGACATCTCCATTCTCCAAAGCTCTCTTCCTGCTTGCGATGGGAACTGGGCACTAAACACAGCAGCAGAGCATAAGTATTATATACTAAAGGATGAACAAAGTTAGGGTTGGGGGAGACCAGAGAAGGATGCAACTCTCTCACTCAAATGTCCAGGAAAACATACAGAGGCAGGAGCATGGAAGTTGGGTCTTAGTGGCTGAGAGCAGTACTGGCTGCAGAAGCTACCCTAAGAGCAAGAAAGCCCAAGCCCACACCAGAGAACACAAGGGAAGGAGCAAGTAGTGGAAGAGAAGTCTCAGAAGGGCTGGAAGATGGCTTGAAGAAGGGCTGCAAGAATGTCAAACCAACGAGTTTGGACTGGCTATAGAGAGCCAGTGAAGTTTGTGAGCAAAAGCGGGACAAGGGCAATGCAAGGTGAGGAGAAGGACAATGCAACGCCCAGAGGATATCACGGTGACCAAGGCAAGGGATGGTAGGGTGAACTGTGAACACTGGATCATAGTTCCCCTCTCCCTGTTTTCTGAGGAACAATGGCATTTGATCCTGTTGACCCACAAGGAGACACCTTGACTCCGAGTCCCACCAGCTGGCCTTTCTTTCCCAGGTTTGGTTTCTGCTTCCCCAGAAGAGCAACCTTCTGGCCCCAAACCTTCAACAGCTGATCAAACACTTAGGCACAGTGTGTACACATGGAAAGGGAGGGAATTCACTTCAAGTACTTGACACAACCACCCAGATTTCCCCGCAACTGGCCAAGCTGAGTAACAGGGCACATTTGGTTCATTTCCTGCACAAACAGGATTTCTCTAACATCAGGGAGAAATGTCCTCTTTGCATTCCCTGTGCCCTCTTGGCCTCACTACTCCAGGGACCCAGGTCATCTTTTCTAATTTCCCAGACACAGTCCCCACAGGGAACCACATCTTCTCTGACTTGAGTAACCTTCAAAAGCCTCTCTAAGGATTTCCCAGTTTTTGCCCAAGATACTTCACCATCGTGTGACTCTACACTAGGGGAGTTCAGCTAGCCATGGGCTCAGGAGAGTTGTCTGTGTCACCCACTAACAGAAAGTCACAGGAACTGATTCTTTTGGTAGTAGAACAGAGGAAAAGAAAAAAAGGAAGGTAAGGGTGAGAGGAAAGCACTGATGGAAGGGGGTGGAGGAGTAGCAAGGTAAGTAAGATTAAAAGTCAGATGGACCTTGGTTCAAATCCCAGCTCCACCATCTTTGTGTACTTGAATAAGCCACTGGACCTCTCCGGAAATTATTTTCTCATCTGTGAAATGGGTCTAAAACTCAATTCCCAAGGAGGCTGTCACAATTTGAAGAGCTATTGTTAGTGTTGAGCGTTAGGAGAAAATTAGTAAATGAAATGAAATATTTATGAGATACACTGTTGAAGAATGAGCTCTGGTGGCGTAGTGTATCAGACACTTGGCTGCTAACCACAAGGTCAGCGGTTCAAACCCACCACGCGCTCCGAGGAAGGAAAACGGGGCGATCTACTGCCGTAAAGATTTACAGCCTCGGAAATCCAGTGGGAGTCGCTGTGAGTCGTAATTGACTTGAAGGCAGTGAGCCTGGTTTTGGTTTCTTTAACAGTGAGGAGAAAATAGCTAAACTGTGCACCAGGTAGCAACTAAATGAGCGCCCTGGTGCCCCTATCCTCAAGGGCAAGACAAGGAGCTGCTGGGCTGGCTACAGTGCACAAAGCTCTGGGGTCGGAGCGGAGCCGCACACCCAGAGCACCATCATGCGCAGGTGGAAGGGGCGCACGGATAGCAGGTTGGCGATGCCGCCGGCTCTGCCCGCGGGGAAAGAAAGAAGACAGCAGGCTCACCTGAAGACGCGCAGCAGCAGGCAGGCGATGAGCAGGGCGGTGAAGGTGCAAGCCACAATTACGGCCGCTTTTAGTGTGGGCAGATCGCGAAGCAGGGTGGAGATGCGGGTCACCAGAGCGTCGCCGCTGCTGTTAGAGCTGCCGTAGCCTCCCGCTGCCGCCCCGGCCCCCACTTGGGTTGCGTTCCAGGGCCCCGGGCCGGGCAGCGGCCGCGGCTGGCGCTCAGGGTCCGGCTGCCGCGCCGGGACGGACTCGGCTCTGCTGGCGCTAGGGCCGGGCGCCGCCAGGAGCACGAGCAGCAGGAGAGGCACGAGCGTAGCGGGCGGCGGCGCGGTGCGCATGGTGCGGTCTGTCGGCGCCGGGCACAGCATGGCGCGCGTGGCCGAGCGCCGCGTTCCGCACCAGCGCCGAGGCCTGCACTGGGGGCTCCCGCGGCAGCGGCGGCTGCGCGGTGCTTGGCAGGAAGCTGTGGCGCCCGGAAGAGCCCGAGCGGCAGCTGCCACCAACACGTTGCACTGTCATTCGACGGGCCGGGGCTTCACGTGGGCGGGGCAGGCGACGGGACTCGGTCAGGCTGCGCTGTTCCCACCGGCGGCCCAAATGCCCCAGGGCCTAGGACCCTCTGGGGAAGTAGTAATGATCAGGCTTTTGTGCAGGCTCCTTGCTGAACATTTCACGTATTTTATTATCACATTTAATCCTACAATGCCTTCAGGAGACAGCTATTTCTGTTATGCACATGTAATAGTTAATTTAGAACCCAAATTGTGTTAGACTAAGAATCAAGACCTGGAGATAAAACTCCATTTTACAGATTGGGAAATTGAGGCCTAGACTCCAGTGAAGTGTGTTGCTTGATGCCTTATGTATTGCGTATATTTCAGTATCTCTGGAAAAGAGGGGTTTTTTTATCCCATGGTTTCGTTTTTTAAGGCATTTTGTATCTCATCAATTTGATTGGGATGTGAATTTATGGATTCATGCCTCTACATCTCAGTGCCAGGGTGAATTTCCAGACTCCAGGGAATAATGGAGGCTCTAGTGGGATGCACGAAGGCAGGAATTGATGGAGGCACATAGGGCTTTCCTGGAGCACTCAGAACTGCACTGAGGGCCTCAGAGTGGACCTTTCATCCTGAGGATGGATCCCAGCAGGAAACTCTACAAACCAAACCATTGTCCAGTCAGTTCTGGCTCATAGTAAAACTGTAAGACAAAGTAGAACAGCCATGTAAGATTTCCAAGGCTGTAAATCTTTACAGAGCAGATTGTCACATCTTTATCCTATGGAGCAACTGGTGCGTTCAAACCACTGACCTTTTGGTTAGCAGGCAAGTGCTTAACCACTGTGCCACTAGGGCTCCTTGGAAACTCTCCAGTGGCAGATAAACAGCTAAACCCACATGACAAAGACTCTGCAACCTTGAACAGCTCACTCCTACTCCTGCTAGAGAAAGGCATAAGTAAAGGTAGCAGATTGTATTAGTTATCTATTGTTGTTAGTTGCCGTGAGTTGGCTCCAAGTTAAGGTGACCCCACGTATGCAGAGTAAACTGTACTGCATATGGTTTTCAAGGCTGTGACCTTTCAGAAGCAGATCACAAGGACTTTCTTCCAAGGCTTCTCTGAGTGGTCTTGAACTGCCAACCTTTCAGCTAATAGTAGAGCACTGAACCACTTACACCACTTAGGGACTCCAGTTATCTATTGCTGCATAATAAATTACTCCAAAATTTAGCAGCTTAAAACAATACACATTTATTCTCTCACAGTGTCTGTGGGCCAGGAATCTAAGCATGGCGTAGCTGAGGCCCCTGCTTCAGACTCTCTCACAAGGTACAATCAAGATGTTGGTCAGGGCTAGGGTCTCATCTGAAGGCTCAACTGGGGAAGGGTCCTCTTCCAAGCTCATTCACCCATTATTGGCAGGATCCAGTTTCTCACAGTTCCCACCTCAGCAGCATGGTATGCTTCATCAAAGCATGTAAGCCAAGGAAGAAGTAGAAAGAATCTGCTAGCAACACACTATCTTGGGAAAACTCAACTCTTGAAATGATATTCCAACACCTTGGCAATTTCCTATTAGGCACAAGATACAGGTCCCATACACACTCAAGAGGAGGAGACTACAAAGAAGCATAAATGCCAAGAAGGACTTCAGCAACATTGTAGAATAGGCAAATAAGCTACACAGATCCTGTACAACAAAGAAATGAGAAATCTATTAAAACAAAAAAAGGCAAAACACAACCACTGCCTTGGCGTCAGATCCAACTCATAGCAACCTCTCCTTGGGTTTCTGAGGCAGTATCACAAATACAGAGGATAATCCTGGAACCCTGAAGTTCAAAAGGAAAGACAATGAAGTGGATTGCATACCAACTAGTGGAAGAAACCCACCACTCACCAGTCAGTTTGCCTTAGTGTAGTGACTTGCATGATGCTCTGAGGCTGGAAGCTATGTGACTGGTATTTCAGATACCAGCAGGATCACTCATGGTAGACAGGTTTCAGTGGAGCTTCCAAACTAAGACAGACTTGAAAGAAAGAAGGTGCCATCCATTTATCAAAGAATTGGCCAGTGGAAACCATATGAATAGCAGTAAAACACTGTCTGATATATTACTGGAAAACTTTATGAATAGCCATGAAACACTGTCTGATATAGTGCCAGTAGATGAGCTCCTCAGGTCAGAAGGAACTCAAAATATGACTGGGGAAGAGCTGCTTCTTAAAAGCAGAGTCAACCTTAATGACGTGAATGGAGTAGAACTTTCAGGACCTTCATTTGCTGATGGGACATGACTCAAAATGGGAAGGAAAAAAAAACAGCTGCAAATATCCATTAATAATCAGAACATGGAATGTATGAAGTATGAATCTGGGAAAGTTGGAAGTTGTCAAAAATGAGACAGAATGCATCAAGAGCAATATCCTAGGCATTAGTGAGCTGAAATGGACTGTTTTTGGCCATTTTGAATTAGACTGTCAATTGTATGATCTACTATGCCAGGAATGACAAATTGAAGAAGAATAGTATAACATTCATTGTCACAAAGAAAGTTTCAAGATTTATCCTGAAGTACAATGCTGTCAGTGATAGGATAATATCCATACGCCTACAAGGAAGACTAGTTAATACTAGTATTATTCAAATTTACCAATCACTAAAGTCAAAGAAGAATCACTGGTAGTTGGAAAATTTGGTGACAGAAATAACACTGGAGATCACATGCAAATACCTTTTTTCAACAACACAAACAGAGGCTATACAGGTGAACTTTGCCAGATGGAGTACACAGGAATCAGATGGACTACATCTGTGGCAAGAGGAGATGGAAAAAGCGCAATAGCTTCAGCCAAAACAAGACCAGGAGCTGATTGTGGAACAGACCATCAGCTGCTCATATGCAAGTTCAACTTGAAGTTGAAAACAATTAAACCAAGTCCACAGAAGCCAAATATGACTGTGAATATATCCCTTCCAAATTTAGAGACCATCTAAAGAATAGATATGATGCATTGAACACCAGTGACTGAAAACCAGAAGAATTGTGGGATGACATCAAGAGCATCATCCATGAAGAAAGCAAGAGGTCATTAAAAATACGAGAAACAAAGAAAAGACCAAAATAGATGTCAGATGAGACTCTGAAACTTGCTCTTGAGTGAAGAGTAGCTAAAGCAAATGGAAGAAATGACAAGATAAAAGAGATAAACAGAAGATTTCAAAGGGTGGCTGGAGAATGCAAAGTAAATTATTAGAATGAAATGTGCAAAGATGTGGAGTTAGAAAAACAAAAGGGCAGAACACACTCAGCATTTCTCAAGCTAAAAGTACTGAAGTAAAAATTCAGCCTTGAGTTGCAATGTTGAAAAATTCTATAGGCAAAATATTGAATGATGCAGGAAACATTGAAAGATGCAAGGAATACACAGAGTCACTGTACAAAAAAAGAATTGGTCAATGTTCAACTCTTTCAGGAGGTGGTGTATGATCAAGAACCAATGACATTGAAGGAAGAAGTCAAAGCTGCACTGAAGGAATTGGTGAAAAACAAGGATCTAGGAATTGACAGAAGACCTACTGAGATATTTCAACAGCTGCCATGCTGGAGGCACTTATTCATCTATGCCAAGTAATTTGGAAGACACCTACCTCACCAACTGACTGGAAGAGATCCGTATTTGTGTTCATTCCAAAGAAAGGTTATCCAGCAGAATGTGAAAATTATAGAACAATATCATTCATATCACATGCAAGTAAAATTTTACTGAAGATAATTCAAAAATGGTTGCAGCAGCATATTGACGGGAAACTGCCAAAAATGCAAGCTGGACTCAGAAGAGGACATGGAATGAGAATATCATTGCAGATGTCAGATGGATCTTGGCTGAAAGCAAGCAATACCAGATACCTGTGTTTTATTGACTATGCAAAAGCATTTGACTATGTAGATCATTATAATTTACGGATAGTATTGCAAAAAGCAGGAATTCCAGAACATGTAACTGTGCTCATGAAGAACCTGTACACAGACCAAGAGGGTGTCATTCAAACAGGACAAGGGGATATTGCATGGTTTAAAATCAGGAAGGATGTGCAACAGGGTTCTATCCTTTCACTATACTTATTCAGGGAATTGTGATGGCATAGTGCCTAAGGCATTTGACTGCTAACCAGGAGGTTGGCAGTTCAAACCCACCAGCCACTCCTCAGAAGGAAGATTGGGCAATCTACTTCCATAGAGGTACCACCTCAGAAACCCAAGAAGGGCTCGCTATGAGTTGGAAATGAATCTACAGCAGTGAGTTTGGTTTTGGTTTTTATACTTATTCAATCTGTATGCTGAGCAAATAATTTAAGAATCTGGGCTATATGGAGAAGAATGTACCATCAGGATTTAAGCAAGACTCATTAACAACCTATGATATGCAGATGACACAACCTGGCTGAAAGTGAAGATTTGAAGCACTAACTGATGAAGATCAAAGACAACAGTCTGCAATATGATTTACACCTCAACATAAAAAAAATTAAAATTAAAATCCTCACAACTGGACCAATAAGTAGCATCACGATAAATGGAGAAAAGATTGAAGTTGTCAAAGATTTCACTTCACTTGAATACACAATCAACACCCACAGAAGCAGCAGTCAAGAAATCAGACATCATATTGCAAATCTACTGCAAAAGACCTCTTTAAAGTGTTGAAGAGCAAAGATGTCACTTTGGGGACTACGATGTGCCTAACCCAAGCCATGGCATTTTCAATCACCTCAAATGCATGTGAAACCTGGACAATGAATAAGGAAGACTAAAGAAGAGTTGATGATTTG